AGAAAGCAATAGATTTCTTGCTTCTGCCACAAATTTCCTCAGCTGTGAGCCTTCCAATCTTCTACATATTCCTTTATATGTGGTTCAGAGTTCTGGGACCATCCCCTGAACCTGCTTGGTCGAGTATTCTGTGTTGTTGTTTGCGGAGCTCTCTGCTACACATCCACCTGATCCGCCATCTTGTTTGTTCTGGTAGTCTACCCTTTAATTTTTAATCTATGTTTGTTTTTGTCTGTGTGTTTTGTAGACAGCATATTAAAAGATCCGGTTTTCTTATCCATTCTGTCTTTTGACTGGTGTGTTTAATCCATTGACATTAAGTGTAATTATTGATAGATGATTTTTGCTGTTGTATGTGAGGGACAGTTTTGCTGGGTGTATGATTTTCGGTTGGCTTTTTTTTTTCTCCAGAGGTTTGTATATGTCTCACCCATTGCTTTCTTTGACTATCCTTTCTGTCCTTTCCGTTGTCTCTTACTGTTCTATAATTTCCATCACTTTGTAGGTTATTCCTCTTTATGTTGTTCCATATGAATCTTAGGCTTCCTTTTTTTCTGAATGTTCTTTTAGCTAGCTAGTATTGAGAAATTTATCTTAAAGCTAACTAATTTTGGCATCCATTAATTCAACTGTAATCCTTTGCTCTTTCAGTATATTTCATTTTTGATATCTTAGTATTAATTTTCCGGATTTCTTTTTTCAAGTTTATTGTTGTTTTTGATCCTTTACATTTTGTGTTATTGGTCCTGTAGTGTTTTTCTGAATTCTCCTTTGTTTTCCTTGAACGTTCTCCTAATCCTTTTGTTGTTGTTGTTGTTAAATGCCATCTAGTCAGTTCTGACCCATAGCGACCCTGTGTAGGGTTTCCGAGGCGCAGATGGTGAGCTTGAACTGCCGACCTTGCAGTTCAAATGGTTTGCAGTCTGCCACATTAACCCACAATGCCTCACCAGGACTCCTCCCAGTCATTTGGAGCTACCTAAATATCTTTTCCTGAATTCTTTTTCAGGTAGCCTTTGTTTTTCCTCAGAAGTGTTTCTTAATTCTGCCTCTTTATCATTTGTTTGATCTATTTTGTCTTGTTTCTTTGTATGAAGAGAATTTGTGTGCTGCTTTCAAGTCGCTGTGGTGTTCTATTTGCATTAAGTTGATGGATGGATGTTGGTATTCTTAGGTACTCATCAACCACCTCCTGTTAGGTGTGATCAGGAGATGAGCTTGTGCACCGTTCTCTGTTCATGCAGTTCTGTTGAGGAAGTGCCATACCATTTCCAATCTTGTTGCAAAATTTTACAGTCCTACCAGCACCGACTTGATGGCACCTAACAACAACAACATACTTATCTGAGAGTTATGCTTTTCAGCTTTGTTTTGGGCTCTGAACCAGGTTAGCCCTTTAACGGACAGATGACCTTCTTTAAAGTGAAATGTTTGTATATAGATTTAAAATAAGAATTCTGTTTTTAGGTGTGCATATTTCTACATTTTAAAAGTGTTTAAATATTTCAATATTTCACTATCAAACATTTTTTTTCACTTTCGTAATTTTTTTCACCTTGTTTTTCAGAATGAACCTAGTGATCGAGAAGATGGCCTCATCAGAGGACATCGTGTGACAGACTCTGAGAACGATGAACTCCCAAATCTTAATGCTAGTGACTCTGAAAGTGAGGAGCTTCACAGGCCAATAAATAGTGACTCTGAATCTGAAGAGCATCCAGAGCCTCCTGCAAGTGATTCAGAAAATGAGGTCAATCATCATGTGAGTGATTCTGAGAGTGAGGATACCAGGAAATTACCTGTTAGTGACTCTGAAAATGAAGAACTTCTTAATGGGCATGCAAGCGATTCTGAAAATGAAGATGTTCAAAAGCATCCTGGTAGTGAATCAGAGATTGAAGAACATCAGAAAAGTCCTGCTAGTGATTCTGAGACTGAGGATGCTGTAAAAACTCAAGTCAGTGATTCTGAAAGTGAAGAGCCCCCAAGGCATCAAGGCAGTGACTCAGAAAATGAGATGCTCCCCAAACCTCAGGTCAGTGACTCAGAAAGTGAGGAGCCTCAGAGGAATCAGGCCAGTGACTCTGAAACTGAGGAGCTTCCCAAACCCCGTATCAGTGATTCAGAAAGTGAGGATCCTCCAAGGCACCAAGCCAGTGACTCTGAAAACGAAGAGCTTCCCAAACCCCACATCAGTGACTCAGAAAGTGAGGGTCCCCCAAGGCACCCTGCCAGTGACTCAGAAAATGAAGAGCTTCCAAAACCCCAAATTAGTGATTCAGAAAGTGAAGACCCCCCAAGGAACCAGGCCAGTGACTCTGAAAATGAAGAACCTCCCAAACCCCAAGTCAGTGACACAGAAAGTGAGGAGCTTCCCAAACCCAGAGTGAGTGACTCTGAGACTGAGGACCCACAAAAGGGACAAGCCAGCGATTCAGAACCTGAGGGTGTTTCCAGGCACAAACAGAAGCAAGAGTCGGATGATGACAGCAATGGGGAAAATAGGGGAGAGGATGCAGAAATGCAAAATGACTCCTTCCATTCAGATAGCCAAACAGAGAGGAAAAGGATTCACAGTTCTGACAGTGAGGAGGAGGAAGAATCCAAAAGGCAGAAATTTGACAGTGATGAAGATGAAGAAAAAGAGGGGGAGGAGGAGAAAGTAGCAAAACGGAAAGCAGCTGTCCTTTCTGATAGTGAAGGTGAAAAGAAAGCATGTAAGGAATTATATTGGGCATAGTCTAATTTATTGTTTAAGCTTATAACTGGAACATTGTTTAATGTTATTTTAGATCTGTATTGTCATTTAATTTATGTTCTTAAATATTACTTGAAACTGGTTTACCCTGGTTTTTATTAACTTAATAGTAAATTTTCTTTGTATTGTAGCAACTTTTGTTAAATTCTAATTACTTTCAAGTGATAAGTGGACTGTCAGGGAGAATATCAAAGATGTAATTTTTTACCAGAATAGATATGTTTCAAAGAAAGATGTCTACATGAAAATCTCTCACTGTATCCAGAGTTCTCTGAGTTATGTCTTTGATAGCTACTTCATTAGAACCCAGTATTGGAGCTGTGATGGGTGTATTTCTTCATTTGTTAATGTCAAGTATCCATAGGCTGGGAAGTTTTGGAGAGAACCATATTTAGAAGACTTTATGTCCTGTAGAGTATCCCAGTCTGCTAACTAGCACCCAAACATGGAGTCTTGGTGTGGCACTGTGGGTTAATGCGCTAGATTACAAAGTTGATTTGAACCACTAGGTCGGTGGTTTGTGCTCACCAGCTACTCTTTGGAAACCCTATACAGGGTCACTATGAGTCAAAATGACTCAACAGAGCTAAACAACCACAACAGCTAGCACCCAATTTCTACAGGTAATTTTTACTTGATTATTTTGCTATGAAAATTACCTTTGACAAAGAGGTCACTTATAACCTTAAAGTTATTTAAACTTATAACCTTTTAAAGTTATTTGTCGTCATTAAGTGCTGTTAAGTTGGTTCTGATTCATAGTGACCCTATGTAGTGTTTCTGAGGCTGAATATCTTTGTTGGAACAAAACACTACCAATTTTTTCCTGCTGAGCAACTGGTGGGCTTGAACTACGACCTCATGGTTTGTAGCCCATTGATTATCATATAGAGCCACTGCGCTACCCTAAAGTTTTTAGGGAGTAGGAGAAAGTAGACCACACATGCTCCAGTTTGTTAAGGAAAATGATAAATTTTAAATTGACTGGTAATTCAAAAGTATGAGGAATTCTACCAAAGAACAGCATTCATTTTTAATTCCAGTAATACTACTCAAGAGCCCTGACAGGATGCTGTAGAATAAGCACTGGACTAGTAACTTGAAGATAAACAGTGTAAACCCATCAGCCACTCTCAGAAACTTCTATGCAGGATCTCTTGAGAGTCAGAACCGACAGCAGTGTCACACACAACAGTGACACTAGGCAGCATAAAAGGGATGGCAGTTCTTTCTGTACATCAGTCTAATCTTATTTTCTCAGTCCCCAAAAGGAAAGGTAACTGCTGGTACCCACTTTTATATTGGGCCCCACCCCCCATATTTTGGACACTTCTTAAGCAAAGTAAAGATAATTGTAATTTGACTAATAAGCCTTTTAGTTATTTTTTAATTCTAAATGTCAGTAAATCCTTTCTTTTTTTTTTTTTTTTTTTGTTGCCACATACTGCCATTTTAAAGAACCTGTTTGTTATACTTAATAATGCAATAACAATGACAAAATATAAGGTGGTTTTTTGTTTGTTTTTTTTACAACAGCAAAGAAGAGTTGTGTTGTCTCTGATGCAGATGATTCTGACAGTGATGTTATATCAGACAAAGCAGGTAGAAGAGAAAAGACTGTAACATCGGATAGTGAAGAAGAAGTAGGGAAAGAAGAATTGGCTGATAAGAAAAATGAAGAGAATGATCTATTTGGGAGTGATAGTGAATCAGGGAATGAAGAAGAGTAAGTGACATTGTGACATGAGTTTTCAAGAGTTGTAAGCTGTTAGAAGATTTTATAAACTAAATTTCTAGTTGAGGTATATTATAATATATACTGTCTGAATGTTTAGCTTGGGACTTATTCATGGGTTTTAAATTAGTATCTGATCTAATGGTTACACCTTACAAATGCTATGTTAAATGAAGCGAAGAGGATATGTTGTTTGAGTCCATTTACATGAAACTGAAGAAAAGGAAAGACTAATTTTGATGATAGGTATTAGAATCTTGGTTGCCTCAAGGATATTGATGCAGGGACTGAGAAGAACGAGACGTGAGGAAACTTTCCAGAAAGATGAAATTATTCTATGTCTTCATTTGTTATTAAATGCCGTTGAGTTGGTTCTGACACATAGCATCCCTGTATAGGGTTTCCCAAGAGCAACTGGTGAGTTTGAACCTCCAGCCTTGTGGCTAGCAGTATAGTGCTTATCCTACAGTTTCATGAGTACAAAAACTGTATCCTTAATATCTGTATATTTTTATGTATACATTATACTCCATTTTAGAAAGATTTTATAGAACTTATAAAATAAGAAACAAATTAGACTTTGTATTTTTTTCTCCTCTAGAAACCTTATTGCGGACATATTTGGAGAATCTGGTGATGAAGAGGAAGAAGAGTTTACAGTATGTATAAAAAAGAAATGCTTCTCCTGTTTTTTTGTTTGTTTTATGTCAGATTATTCCAAAAACTTGAGATAAAGAAGTATGATGAATTCAGGGGAAACTTTTAGGAAAAAAAAAAATGAATTTAGAAAGTGGGATAAAAGAATGTACAGAGAGGTATACAGGAAAAATAGAAAAGGCTGGATTAAAACAGGGAAGGAATACGTTTAAAGAACTGAAGTATTTCAATTTTGTAATGCTGAAGAATAAAATGCATAATAGCTAGGGGGTATTTGATTCTAGCCTTGATTGTAGGATATTTGCACTAACCCTTGTACTAATAACAACTAAAAAAGCTGGACAAAATGTTTTTTAAAATCTGTTTGTTATTATGGTAATGTAACAAAAGAATCACTAAGCCAAGAACCACAGAACACAGAAACCTAAAAGAAGTAAGCTCAGCATTTAAAACTTTTTTTTTCAGGTGTATTTTCTGTTTTGGAAAATACAATTGAGAGGATAATCCATATGTTTGATAGCCTCAAGACTAATGAGACAAAATTTGGAGTGTAGAGTCTGCTCTGTGTACCAAGCTGTAGACTATATGATTTGGACTAGGACTCCAAAGAATAGCACCATAGGATTATAGGTGAACTGGAAGTTAAAATAGTCGTTGCATGTACTTTTTCCCAGATTTAAGTTATCTAATGGCTTAGAAAACCTCAGTCTCAGAAATTTGATTACTGCAATTCATAACCCATTGTTTAATGTTCCTAGACTTCTGACATATCAAAATGAAATCTTTTCAGAACAAAGTAATACCATTATAGTTCTCAAATGATGTACACAGTTTTTCAAATACACAGTTTGGCCCACAATTAAAGTTATACCACATGAACAAGAAGTAAAAGTAGTATTAGACAAAAGAAATAGACCTAAGAGTGCTAGAAACTGGAATTTTTGACATCACCTTAATAACAACTGTTCAGGTACATGAAAGCAAACCATAATGAAACCTGGGAGAGCTGAAACTTAATGGACACCTTGTTTTTTGGGGTCTTAGAAGTTTTCCACCTTGAACAGAGTGCAGTATTAACCATTTTTCTATTCTATTGCTTGTTTTAATGCAAAATATTTGAGTATACCATCTCTGGTAGGTTTTTGCCTTACACAGGTTCTGGCTTTCAATGGTTTTAATGTATGAAAAATGTAAGAGATTGTTGTTGTTAGGTACCATTGAGTTGGTACCGACCCATAGCAACCTTATGCACAGCAGAACAAAACACTGCCCGATCCTGGGCCAACCTCACTACTGTTGCCATGCTTGATTCCATCGATGCTGCCACTTGGCCAATCCATCTTGATGAGGGTCTTCCTCTTTTTCTCTGACCCACCTTACCAAACATGATACCCTTCTCCAGTGACTGGTTCCTCCTGACAATATGTCCAAAGTATGGCCTCAAAGGAGCACTCTGGTTGCACTTCTAAAACGGATCTATTGGTTCTTTTGGCAGTTCATGGCACTTTCAATATTCTCCTCCAACACCATAACTCAAAAGCATCAATTCTTCTACGGTCTTCCTTATTCACGTCCAGCTTACACATGCATATGAGGTTATTGAAAATACCATGGCTTGGGTCAGGCGCACCTTAGTCCTCAAGCTGACATCTTTGCTCTTCAACACTTGTAAAAGATCTTGTGCAGCACATTTGCTTAATGCAATACGTCGTTTGTTCTCTTTTGACTACTGCTTCCATGAGTGCTGATAGTTGATCCAAGAAGAATGAAGTTCTTGACAACTTCAATCTTGTCTCCGTTGATAAGGATGTTGTTTATTGGTCCAGTGGTGAGAGGATTTTTGTTTTCTTTACATTGAGATGTAATCCATACCGAAGGCTGTGCTCTTTGATCTTCTTCAGTAAGTGATGTAAGTCCTTTTCACTTTGAGCAAGCAAGGTTATATGATTTGCATATTGCAGATTGTTAATGAGTCTTCCTCCATTCCTGATGCCATGTTTTTCTTCATAGAACCCAGCTTCTCAGATTAATTGCTCAGTATACAGATTGAATAAGTATGGTGAAAGATTACAACCTTGTCGCACACCTTTTTAATTTTAAACCATTCAGTGTTCCCATGTTCTGTTCGAACAACTGCTTGGTCCAGGTACAGATTCCTCA